CGAGATGGGGGTAAGTAATTAATGACAAAATTTTCATTTTAGGGTGGAGTATCCCTTTAAGAATATCCAGGATTATTATAGTTATCTAAAACTAAAACCGTAAAAAAAAACAAAAAACATTCTTGTTACTTGAAATGAAATAAATGTAAAAACAAAACGTATAATTATTTTTTCAGCTAGTTGCCAAAGCAACATATCTCATATTCATTTGTAGTGAACAGCGAATTCCAGGGCCCAGTAAATGGCGGGGCCCCTCTCTGGCCACAATATTCAAGAGGTCCTCGCTGCAGCCTGTAGTACGATGACGTAGCTGGATCAGATCCAATACGTATTGGATGTTTGACGAGCATGCGCAGGTATTGGATTGTAATGCGCATGTGCAAAGTGGGGCTGTCATTAGCTAGTATTTAATGTAAATTAAACTGTAATTAGGCTATTACGAGATATAGGTGTGTTTCATAGGCTTACACAAATTATATTATACTGTGATTTTAAACTAGTAGTGTATTCAAACTTTATTTAAGCAACAATGGCGTAGTTTTGAATGAAAGGGTATGTAAGCTATGTTTATTTTTTATTAGTTTGATTCGTTTTAGAAATAAAACTCTACTAATTACAATTTTGTTTGTTCTTTATGAAAAACATGGGGTGTAGCTATTGTCTTTATTTTTTCCTCTGATAGTCTTGTCAAGATAGTTAGATAGTTCTGTCAAAAATTCGTTCATGAATCAAATATTATTTTTCGTTCTCACTCTCTGTGCTATACGCTATACGTGATAAAAAATGTTATAGGCCTACTAAAATATGCGGACATAATTTTTATACCATATAAAAATTAAAAATAAAAAAACAATCCTGTCAGTCGGGGTTCCGTATAGCCGATAGACCGTTATCCCGGGTTATACCGGGTTTTTACAGTTAATCCCATGTCCAGCAAATAAATGCACACACGGTCGGGGACAAGGCATATTAACACAAAGATGACCATTTCTTTTTTTCTGTGTTATATGCAAGTGAAATCCCTGGAGATAGATA